AGGTTACAGAAGCTAAAATCTTTCAATTTTGCCTCCAGCCAGACTTGAACTGTTGACCTTGACTGTGGAGAGTATGGAAGCTTAACCGCTAAGCTATGAAACCTACACTCTTGTTTCTTAGTTATATTATATCAAGAAGACTGCAATATTATAATAAGTTCAATATTTAACAAACTTATACTACAAGTTAGCAACAATAATATAAAAAGATGCTTCAATATTAATATATTTCTGAATAAATTTTTATATACTAAATTAAAAAATAGTTTTTTAAAATATAGAAATATTATTTAATTTAGAATATAATTCTTAAAAATTATAAGAAAACTTTTAATTTTATTATTATTTTTTTATTAATTTTATTTATATAAAAATAATATCTTTCTTAACAACTTCTATTTTGATTAGTTAACAAACTACAAACAAACTAAATAATATCTATAACTTTATTGTATCTTCAAATAACTTAACAACTTTAGTTTTAAAAACAATAAAATTCTTTTTTTAAACAACTACTTATTCCTTAAATGGTCTTGCAGGCAAATTTGCCTGCAATTTCTAAATTTAGATGTAAATCAGTTTGTATTTTTTTTATAAAAATAGTCCAATCACATTTTGGTATTAGATAAATATTGATCAACATTCTATTAAACATATTTAATCAATTACAAACTTACCATTGTTTTGAAAAGGGTGAAACTAACCAATTAAAGAATTTCTTTAATTTTGCCCAATGTAAGGTATTTTTGTTAACTTTTGAAATTTTTTTTTTAAAAAAATTTTTTTTCACATGAATTTTTTTTGTAATGGAAACTTCAATTCTAAACGAACAGGATGACGATGACATATATATTGCAGAATTATCATGTAGTGTCCATGAACATTATGAACAAAGTGACTCTGAAGATGATGAAAATTATGATGTTCGATATAAAAACGCTCAAGATGAAATTCAAAATAATAGAGATGGTCATAATTATAGTCAAGAGCATGGTTCTGGTCATGGTCGTGGTCGTGGTCGTGGCCATGGCCGTGGCCGTGGCCGTGGTCATGGCCATGGTCAAAATTATGAAACCGAAATTCATGTACAACTTCCTATTCCTCCTTCTTTTAATACATTTCAACATTCAAGACCTATGCATGGATTTATACTAAATGCTCCTACTAGAAATGAAAATTTTTTATCATCACCATATTCAATTTTTAGTATGTTTTTTTCTTATGAACAAATAAATACAATCATGCAGAATACCAATAAATACGCTTGTTTAAAAGGTGCTGGAGAAGGACGAAAATGGGTAGAATTAACAGTGGGAGAATTTAAAATTTGGTTGGCAATATTAATATATGCTGGTATTTTTAAATTTCCTAGTATTAGAGATTATTGGGTTACGAATAATAAATTTCCAGAACATAAGATAACAAATTTTATGACCATACTTCATTTTGAACAAGTATGTTTTTTTTAAGTAAATATTGGATTTACTGTATTAAGTTTATTTACAATGAATTATTTAAAATTTTTTTTTAAATATAGATTAAACGGTTTATGCATATTTCAGACTGTAGTATACCATCTTTATATTGGTTTTCTAAATTGGACCATTGGCAAGTCATGTTCAAATGATATCTAAATCGATCTGTATTCCATCATCTAACATATCAATCGATGAAATGATCACAAGATTTTCAGGTCGAAGCATGCATACGGTTAGAATTAAAAACAAGCCTACATCGGAAGGGTACAAAATTCTCTCCCTTTGTAATTCAGGTTATACGTATTCCTTTATTTTTACTTTGCATATTCATAATCATCCAGAAGTAAAACAAATTGCGAATCTGAATAAAGTTGGAAATAATGTTTATCACCTTGTTTCTCAATTACCTTTAAATAAATCTTTCAATATATATATGGATAATTTTTTTTCATCTATTAACCTCTTTCGACATATGCGCAATAATAATTTTGGCACATACGGAACAGTTAAAAAAAATAGTGCACATTTCCCTAAAATACTTAAAATAGATAAAAAGTTAGATTGGGATACATTATCCGGAGTAGTAGTTGATGATGTTTTTGCTGTTTTGTGGATGGACAACGGTCCAGTAACCATGCTGACCACCATTCATGAAATTACTGGAAATGAAAATAGAGTTGAAAGAATTCGACATCGACCCCAAGAATCTAGCACCAATGCTACAAAAGTATGTGCAGTTTTTGGAACTGCTAGTAAAAAAGCTTTGCCAATACCTTGTATAATTGATGACTACAACCACCACATGAATGGAGTAGACAAAGCCGATCAACTTCACGGATATTATGCCATCCAATTACCAGTAAGAAGAACTTGGATGCTCTTGTTTTTTTGGTTACTCGACACTTCTATTGTCAATTCTTACTTAATTTTTAAAAAAAATAGCAATGTTATTAATCATAAGAATTTTCGAATTCATCTAGTATGAGAATTAATTAATGCAGGTATGGAAGAAAATGATCGAACAAAAAAGCCAAATACGCGAAGTCAGGTAGAAGAATTAACATATCAATTTGAAAATATTAGTGTTAATCTTCCAAAAACACAGTATGTGACAAGTAATTTCGAACTCTTCTTATTAAGGCTATCTCCAGATGGACATTTACCTGAATGAAGAAAAGAAAGAAGTAGCTGTATATGGTGCAGATATTTGGCAAAAAAAAAACAAACTGATGAAAAAAAAATACTAAAAAAAAAAAAAATACTGACAAGAATCCACCACAGTCGCAGATTTATTGTGTAAAATGCAATGTGGCCTTATGTTGTAGTAAGGGTAGAAGTGACTGTTTTAAAAACTACCATATTCGAAAAGAAAATTAAGGATTTTTATATTTTATTAAATAAGTACTTAAAAAAAAAAAAAAAAAAAAACGGTAAAAAAAGGAATATATATGTATCTTGTTTATTCCTATGTGAATCAAAATTGTACTGCTTGAGTTGTAAAAATGAAGTCATAGGAATTGTTTTCATACTAAATTTTACATTTCTTACTATGATTTCTTATTGTTATGGTCAAAACATAATGAGAAAATTAAAAATAAATAAAAATTTTTGAGAAATTGAGAATTTTATTAAAAATAGATGTTTTTCAAAAATCTATACATATTAGATAATTTTTATGATAGTATAAAAATTAAAGTTAAAACTATCTGCAATATCGATCAATTACTCGTGTAAAAAATTTTATTGCATGAAACTTAAATTTTCCAAAATTTTATATAAAATGAAGTAAAAAAAAAAATTGCAGGCAAATTTGCCTGGAATAGCTTACCATTTAAGGGATAGCTAATAATTAAAATTTTACTTCTTTAAAAAAATATATATCTTAGAACTTTTAAATCTTTTCAAGGTTTTATTCCAAGCTAGTTTAAAATACTTTTAAATAAATAATTTTTTCTTTTATTTTACATATATAATTTCACTTTTAATTTTAATTAACTAATTTATTTTTAAATATACTTAATTTTATTATATCATAATTTTTTAATTTTAAAATTATATAAATATAAATGTAGTGACTTAGTAAAGTGAATAAGTTGTCAAGCTTTTAAGTAGCAAATTGTAAGTTCAAAACCTACTGAAGATAAAATTTAAAAAATTATATTTGTATTATAGCAACAGCATTTTGTTGATTAGTTAAAATAAAATAATTATAACTATAATTACACTAGTATAATTAGCAAGTCAGAAGTATCTGTATAATCAAGGTTATATAGAAAAATACAAACTAGTATTAAATAATACAAATTTAAGATAAGTTTTTGTTGTTGTATAAATTTGTAAAACTAAAAAAAACTAAAGCCCACTTAGAAAAATCTAAGTAGAAAAGTAAAACAGATTTTTAACAGTACTATTATAAAGGCTAAATCTAAAAAACAGATACTAATATAAAGAAATTAAACAAACAAAAATCTTAAATAAAGGTACTACTAATCAGACTACCAGAAATTTTGAGTCAAAAAAAAAAAATATCAGATGTCAGAACTTCAGTATATCAAAAACAGGTTATAGTTCTATTGAACTATCTGGATTAAAAGTTTGATAACAAAACAGTAATATATTATAAGTACTAAAGATATATTATAAAGTTGATACTAAGATCTAGATAAACTTTACAAGAGTAAGCTCTGTTAATGTCTTATAAAAAGTAAGTAGATTAGTTAACAGAGAGGCCTTTAGAGCCTTATAGTTAGATAATATATTCTAAAATATATATGTAATAGCTTAACAGATATACAAAAAGAAAGATCATAGTTAGATTAGACAGCATTTAGATATATAGAACTTGTATGCTATCTATTAGATGTAATATAAAGATCAAAGTATTTAATTAGGTAATCTCTTAGCAGATTACAGATATAGTAACTAGTACAGAATCTGCAAGCAGACTACTTAAATAAATAACCAAAAGCTATATGTGTAGCTAGTTGCATACTTACTTTATACAATTTATATAACTATAATTAAAACACAATAAAGATAGTAGTTGCTAATAATCAACAGTCTTAGCAAAGCAAAAAAAAATATATAAACATTTTATATTTTATTTAATAATTAGTATATAAACAAAATAACAAATATATTTAACTTTGATATAATTTTTTAATAAATACCAAATTATTATATTAATAACTAATACAATTTATATTTTTTTTTTTTTTTTTTTGGTATTAAGGTGACCTCTTTGGTCTTTTGACTTTTATTAATCACTTGTCGGTATTGT